CAGGTTGAATAGAAGGTTTGAGGAGATGGATGGTAGAATGGTTGAGATGGAGAGAAACCAGAGGGGGGAAAGGATACAAGATTAATGCAACCCAAACTACTGAAGATCCATTAAGAGTACCAGTTGGGCCAATCACAAGGTCTAAGTCCAAACAATTAAGACAACTCTTTATTGGTTATGTTCAAAAATGGTGGAAATCCAATTCAAGCCCAATTGCAAATGATGGCGAAGAACTCAAGGCTTTTTATAATTGTTTAAGTGCTGATTTTGGCGATTAAATTAGGCCCAAATCAGCCCTATTATTTTTGGTCATCATTAATTTAAATTGTTTGGTATAAAAGATAAAACACTAGTTGTATTTAGAAAGGATTCCTTAAATCCTTTTCTAAATAAAACTCTATTTACTTGTTTTCTAGATTAGGTTTAGGACTCTTTTTCCCATTGTATTTAGATTACAATGCTGCCCTATACCTATAAATAGGGCACATCCATATCAGTTTTGAGTAGACTTTAATTCAATAAAATTCTTAAGTTTTTCTTTACACTTGTGTAAGAAACCTTATAGCTAATTGTGGACTCAATTAGTGGCTAGTCGTGGACTCGACTAGCAAATTGATTCGTGGACTCGAATCAATCTTACTTTCTTCAACCTTAGATTTAGGTTCGTGGACTCGTTCTTGAATCGAAGGAAACTAGATCCGAATCTAGTTGATTGAAGATTGCATCATCGAGGTACTTGAAGCTACAATGGGATTCTTCCAAGTCTTTGAGGATTCGAGACAAAGAGTTTCTCGTGAGGTTTAAGGTATTTCGATCCATCTCTATCTTTACATTTAGAGCAATTCTTGGGACAATACTCATCTTATTTGAATCTTGGACTAGATTCATATCAAAGATGAAAATAGAGAGAGAAATGGGGTGCAATTTAGGGAACAGAATAGAGAAAGGGAGAGAAACAGAAGACAAAATGAGAGGGAACAAATGAGTAATAGTAGTGGAGAGGAGAGTGAAGAAATAGATGAGAATAGAGAATTTAGATGGGAAAGAAACAGAAGGGGTAGAAATCGTTGGGAAGAACTGGATGATGACATGAGGGATGTTTGGCTAGTGATCCCTAAGTTTCAAGGGAAACATGACCCGAAAAATTATCTAGATTGGGAAAGTAGGGTGGTGAGGTCATTTGAATGTTATAGGTATTCAGAGAGGAAGAAGTTAAGACTGGTAGTGCTAGCTAGAGTTTACAGACTATGCTTCTAGCTGGTGGGATAAGATTATAGCTGAGAGAAGGAAGTATGGAGAGGATCCTATAGAGTCTTGGAGGGAGTTGAGAATTTTAATGAGGAGGCGATTTGTACCAAGTTGGTACCAACGTGAAATGTATCAGCGACTTGAATATCTTTTGCAGGGTGCTAGAAGTGTTGCTGACTACAATCAAGAGATGGAGAAGCTCATGATCAGGCTTAACATAGATGAAAAGACCGAGAGGTCCATGGCCCGGTTCCTTAGAGGCTTGAATGCAGAAATTCGAGAAGAAGTTGAGAGGCAACATTATGTGGAGTATGCTAAGCTAGTACAAATAGCCACGATGGTGGAGCAGTCTTTGCAAAGAAAGAAAAACCAGTTCCACATGAGTTCTTCCTCTTGGAAGAGTAAGGAGGGTGCCAAGGAGAGATTCCAGACAAGGAATGGCAATGGTAAACCCAAGGAGTCTAGAGACCAAAAAGGTAAGGAGATTGCCGAAGGAAACTCTAGGCCACGTAACATCACATGTTTCAAATGTCAAGGAAGAGGCCATATTGCAAAAGTTTGTCCAAACAAGGTGAATATGACAATCAAGAAAGGGAGGATTGTTACTGATTCCGAGCAAAGTGATTCCAAGGAGGAGACCGAAGAGGAATCTGAATCACGTGAGGGGGAACTACTTGAAACTGATAATGAAGAAGTTTTGGAGGGACCAGTTGAGGGAGATGCCTTGATGGTAAGGCGGATGCTCAACATCCAAGCCACCGGGGATGAAAGTCAACGTGAAAACATCTTTCACTCAAGGTGTTTTGTTCATGGTAAGGTATGTAATTTAATAATTGATGGCGGGAGCTAATAGGAACAACTACACATGGAATCCAGTAAGGGTAAATAGTGGGCTCATCACAAGGCCCATAACTACATCCTTAAAGCATCAATGGTGGAATAAACAAGAAAGTCCAATAAAAATTCCATTTGATTGAGGAAAGTATTATAAGTGGCCCGTTTCTAGTGATGTCACAGAACGAAGACAATGTTTAGAAGATTCGAGGTCGAATCATTTTTCAAGAAGGGGAGGATGATGCGGCCCAACATAATGAAGATCCATTAAGAGTACAAATTGGGCCAATCACAAGATCCAAGGCCCAAATCTGCTTTATTATTTGTGGTCATCATTATTTTAAATTGTTTGGAATTAAAGAGAAAACACTAGTTTGTATTTAGAAAGGATTCCTTAAATCCCCTTCTAAATAGGACTATATTTACTTGCTTTCTAGATTAGGTTTAGGACTCTTTTTGTATTTAGAAAAGGATTCCTTAAATCCCTTTCTAAATAGGACTATATTTACTTGCTTTCTAGATTAGGTTTAAGACTCTTTTTCCCATTGTATTTAGGATTACAATGCTGCCCTATACCTATAAATAGGGCACATCCATATCAGTTTCGAGAAGCTTTAATTCAATAAAATTCTTAAGTTTTTCTTTACAAACTTAAGGAATTTAAGGAATCATTTCTAAATACAAACTAGTCTTTTCTCTTTTATGCCAAACAATTTAAAATATAAATAATAGGGCTGATTTGGGCCTAATTTAATCCCCAAAATCAGCACTTGAAGAATTATAAAAAGCCTTTAGTTCTTCTTCATCTTTTGCAATTGGGCTTGATTTGGATTTCCACCATCTTTGAACATAACCAATGAAGAGTTATCTTAATTATTTGGACTTGGGCCTTGTGATTGGCCCAATTGGTACTCATAATGGATCGGCATCATCCTCCCCTTTTGAAAATGATTCGACCTCGAATCTTGTAAGCATTGTCTTCGATCCATGATATCACTTGAAATAGGCCACTATAATACTTTCCTCTATCGAATGGTATTATTATTGGACTTTCTTGTTTCTTCCACCAATGATGCTTTAAGGACGTAGTTATGGGCCTTGTGATGAGTCCACTATAGACCCTTATTGGATTCCATGTGTGGTGGATCCTATTAGAATCCAATAAGGGTCTATAGTGGACTCATCACAAGGCCCATAACTACGTCCTTAAAGCATCATTGGTGGAAGAAACAAGAAAGTCCAATAATAATACCATTCGATAGAGGAAAGTATTATAGTGGCCCATTTCAAGTGATATCATGGATCGAAGACAATGCTTACAAGATTCGAGGTCGAATCATTTTCAAGAAGGGGAGGATGATGCAACCCAACATAATGAAAATCCATTAAGAGTACCAATTGGGCCAATCACAGGGCTCAAGTCCAAATAATTAAGATAACTCTTCATTGGTTATGTTCAAAAATGGTGGAAATCCAAGTCAAGCCCAATTGCAAAAGATGAAGAAGAACTAAAGGCTTTTTATAATTCTTCAAGTGCTGATTTTGGGGATTAAATTAGGCCCAAATCAGCCCTATTATTTATATTTTAAATTGTTTGGCATAAAAGAGAAAAGACTAGTTTGTATTTAGAAAGGATTCCTTAAATTCCTTTCTAAATAGGACTCTATTTACTTGTTTTCTAGATTAGGTTTAGGACTCTTTTTCCCATTGTATTTAGGATTATAATGCTGCCCCTATACCTATAAATAGGGCACAGCCATATCAGTTTCGAGAAGCTTTAATTCAATAAAATTCTTAAGTTTTTCTTTACACTTGTGTAAGAAACCTTATGGCAAATTGTGGACTCAATTAGTTGCTAATCGTGAACTCGACTAGCAAATTGATTCGTGGACTCGAATCAATCTTCCTTTCTTCAACCTTAGATCTAGGTTCGTGGACTCGTTCTTGAATCGAAGGAAACTAGATCCGACTCTAGTTGATTGAAGATTGCATCATCGAGGTACTTGAAGCTATAATGGGATTCTTCCAAGTCTCTGAGGATTCGAGACAAAAGGGTTTCTCGTGAGGTTTAAGGTATTTTGATCCATCTCTATCTTTGCATTGAGAGTAATCTTGGGACAATACTCCATCTTTATTTGAACCTTGGACTAGGTTCATATCAATTTGGTATTCAGAGCCAGGTTTATCTCATTATCATTAGAAATTTGGTTTCTTTGATTCCCTAGGTTTATCTCGTTCTTGTCTTACATACTACTTTTTTTAGTGTCTTATTCATTAAAAAACCCCAAAAAAAATTTCCTTTGCATTCTTGATTATTTTCTTGAATCTTTATACATGTTCTTTAGTTTCTTGAAAACCTATCCTGAAAGAGTTTTCCCTTTTTTCCTATCCAATATCAACGATACCTCACACCTCCTAAGCACCATATTACCACAAATTCTGTCAAGAAAACAATCCCATCTCACCCTTACCTATATCCGAAGCGCATTTACGCGCAATAACGTTGCAATCACACCCTGTCCAGATTTCCGCGTTCTGTGACCAGTTTCAAATAATGACCTATATCTCGAGATCGACTTGTTATTTTTATCTGAAATTTTGATATGTTGTATATCTCTTCTGGGGCATTTTATTGAGATATTATACACTTGCTAATTCCTTACAGTCATTGAGATATTGATCTTCGAAGTAATGGTAGCGTTTCTATTTTTCTGGGTGATTCTTGAAATTTTTGATTCTGTTTTGAAGGAGTTGTGTAGATCCTCTTGGTCTGAAATTTTTTTTGATATTTACAGTAGTTATTTGGAGGTTATTTATCAAAAAAAATCAAGAAAGGTGAAAAAAAAAAAACAAAAAAAGAGAAAGCAATAAAGAAGAAGAATAAGGTTGGGGATGAGATCCTTTGTGACGTAGTGCCCATGGACGCAGCTCACATTCTTCTAGGGAGGCTGTGGCAGTTTGATATGAAGGTGATCCATGATGGTTATTATAACAAGTACATGTTTGAGCACCGAGGCAAGAAGATCACCTTAACCCCAATGACTCCGCGACAAATTCATGATGACCTTCAGAAAATGAGGGAAAGAGAGAAAAATGAAAAAAGAATTGAAAAAAATAGTGAACAGAGTGTTGAAAAGGAAAGAGGAAGCAAAACAGAGAAAAATAAAAGTGAGGAAAAAGAAAAAACAAAGAAAAATTTCATTGGGAAAAAGAGAGATGTTGAAAAAGTAATAAGAGCGGGGAGGCAAGTTTTTCTTTTGTTGTATAAAGGACCCAACGAGGGTACTACTAATCCTAGTCATTTGCCCGAGGCAATAACTTCTTTAATGCAGGAATTCAAAGATGTTTGTCCGGAAGAACTTCCTGCCGGTTTACCACCGTTGAGGGGGATTGAACACCAAATTGACTTGGTGCCAGGAATGCCATTACCGAATAGGCCTGCCTACCGATGTAACCCGGAGGAGACTAAGGAAATCCAAAAGCAAGTTAATGAACTCTTGGCCAAAGAGAAAATCCGGGAATGCCTAAGCTGTGTGCCGTTCCAGTTTTGCTAGTACCCAAAAAAGATGGGTCATGGCGAATGTACGTTGATTGTCGCGCAATTAACAAAATAACTGTCAAATATCGTTTCCCTATACCCCGTTTAGATGACATGCTTGATGAATTATTTGGTGCTTGTTATTTTTCTAAGATTGATTTGCATTCTGGGTATCATCAAATAAGAATTAAGGGAGGGGACGAATGGAAAACAACCTTCAAGACTAAACAGGGTCTATATGAATGGCTTGTTATGCTGTTCGGCCTGACTAACACACCTAGTACCTTTATGAGACTCATGAATGAAGTTTTACGAGATTTCCTTGGGAAAAGTGTTGTTGTTTATTTTGATGACATACTTATTTATAGCAAGAGTCTTAATGAGCATGTTAGACTTCTTAAGGAAGTGTTTTCTTCTTTGAGGAAATATAAACTGTATGCTAATCTAAGAAAAATGTGAGTTTTGCACTTCGTCGGTACATTTCCTTGGCTATATTGTCAATGCCAACGGGATTGAGGCTGATAGTGCTAAAATTGAGGCTATCCAGCAATGGCCTACACCGAAGACGGTTAGCGAGGTAAAAAGCTTTCACGGATTAGTGAGTTTTTATCACCGATTTGTGAAAGACTTTAGCTCAATTGGTGCACCGCTAACTGAGGTGATTAAAAAGAACGTTGGCTTTGAGTGGGGTGAAAAGCAAGAGAATGCCTTTAATGAGTTAAAAGAAAGATTGTGTAAGGCACCTATTCTTGGTTTGCCTAATTTTGATGCTGTTTTTGAGATAGATTGTGATGCTTCCGGAGTAGGAATAGGCGCTGTACCAATGCAGGGGGGTAAACCCGTAGCATACTTTAGCGAGAAGTTAAATGGGGCTTACCTAAATTATCCTACTTATGAGGAGTTCTTTGCTTTAGTGCGTGCTTTAGAGCATTGGGAGCATTACTTGCGTCCAAAAGAGTTTGCTATACATACTGACCATGAATCATTGAAGTATCTAAGAGGTCAAGGTAAACTTAATAAGAGACACGCGAAATGGGTTGAATTTATTGAGTCTTTTGCATATTCCATAAAATACAAACATGGGAAGGATAATGTTGTTGCTGATGCTTTGTCTAGGAGATGTGCTTTACTCACGTCTCTACATTCTAGGGTTTTAGGCTTTGAGCATTTGAAAGAACTTTATAACTCTGACATTGATTTTGGAGCAAGTTTTAATGCATGTTTAGAGGGAAAATTTGGTGAGTACTCTTTGAATGACGGTTTTCTGTTCAGGAAAGGCAGGTTATGTATTCCTTCGTGTTCCATGAGACAGCTGCTTCTTAAAGAAGCTCATGTACTCATGGATCATTTTGGAGTCTTGAAAACTCTCGAGATATTGAAGGACCATTTTTATTGGCCCAAAATGAAACGTGACGTGCACAGAGTTTGTGATAGTTGTGTTACCTGCAAACAGGCTAAGTCCTAAGTACAACCTCATGGTTTGTATACTCCTTTGCCTGTAGCCTCTCATCCATGGGAAGATCTGTCAATGGATTTTGTGTTGGGATTGCCGAGAACTGTTCGGGGACATGACTCTATTTTTGTTGTTGTTGACAGGTTCTCAAAAATGGCACATTTTATGATGCGGCCCAACATAATGAAGATCCATCAAGAGTACCAATTGGGCCGATCACAAGGCCCAAGTCCAAACGATTAAGACAACTCTTCATTGGTGATATTCAAAGATGGTGGAAATCCAAGTCAAGCCCATTTGCAAAAGATGAAGAAGATTTTAAGGCTTTTTATAATTGTTTAAGTGCTGATTTTGGTGATTAAATTAGGCCCAAATCAGCCCTATTATTTTTTGTCATCATTAATTTAAATTGAATGGCATAAAAGAGAAAACACTAGTTGTATTTAGAAAGGATTCCTTAAATCCTTTTCTAAATAAAACTCTATTTACATGTTTTCTAGATTAGGTTTAGGACTCTTTTTCCCATTGTATTTAGATTACAATGCTGCCCTATACCTACAAATAGGGCACATCCATATCAGTTTCAAACAGGCTTCAATTCAATAAAACTCTTAAGTTTTTCTTTACACTGGTGTAAGAAACCTTATGGCTAATTGTGGACTCAATTAGTGGCTAGTCGTGGACTCGACTAGCAAATTGATTCGTGGACTCGAATCAATCTTACTTTCTTCAACCTTAGGTTTAGGTTCGTGGACTCGTTCTTGAATCGAAGGAAACTAGATCCGACTCTAGTTGATTGAAGATTGCAATATCAAGGTACTTGAAGCTACATGGGATTCTTCCAAGTCTTTGAGGATTCGAGACAAAGGGTTTCTCGTGAGGTTTAAGGTATTTTGATCCATCTCTATCTTTACTTTGAGAGCATTCTTGGGGCAATACTCCATCTTATTTGAATCTTGGATTAGGTTCATATCAATTTGGTATTCAGAGCCTAGGTTTATCTCATTATCATTAGAAATTTGGTTTTTTGGTTCCCTAGGTTTATCTCATTCTTATCTTACATACTACTTTTATTCATGTCTTATTCATTAAAAACACCCCAAAAAATTTTCCTTTGCATTCTTGATTATTTTCTTGAATCTTAATACATGTTCTTTAGTTTCTTGAAAACCTATCCCGAAAAAGTTTTCCTTTTTTCCCATCCAATATCAACGAGACCTCACACCTCCTAAGCACCATATTACCACAAATTCTGTCAGGAAAACAACCCCATCTCACCCTTACCTATATCCAAAGCGCATTTACGCGCAATCACGTCGCAATCACACCCTGTCCAAATTTCCGCGTTCTGTGACCAGTTTCAAAGAATGACATATATCTCGAGATCCACCGCTTAGTTTATCTGAAATTTTGATATGTTTTAGATCTCTTCTGGGGCGTTCTATTGATATATTATACACTTGCAAATTCCTTATGGTCATTGAGATATTGATCATCGAAGTAAGGGCATCGTTTTTATTTTTCTGGGGGATTGTTGAAATTCTTGATTTTGTTTTGAAGGGGTTGTGTGGATCCTCTTGGTCCGAATTTTTTTTTTTTATATTTACAGTATTTATTTGGAGGTTACTTATCAAAAAAATCAAAAAAAAAAATCAAGAAAGTTGAAAAAAAAAAAAAAGCAAAAAAATGAGAAAGCTATAAAGAAGAAGAATAAGGTTGGGGAAAGAATTTGGCTGGTAGGAGAATTTTGGAGGGACAAGGAAGGGGAAAAGTATAAGGTTGGAAGGAGTTCTTGATAGATTCCTAATTGGTTGTGGTCACGTGAACCTCTTTTATATTCTATTTGTCTCTACCTTTAGATATTGGTCTTTATATCTTTCTGCCATACTTCCTTCTTTGGTTTCCTCTTTTTCTTTCAAATCTTGCTTAGTTTCTTTGCTTGTATTGTCCTTTTTTCTTTGCTTCTTGCTCTCAATTTTATTACCTACCTCGCGATACACCTTACTCTCAAAGGCTTGTGAAGTTTTCCAAGGTACGTTTTCTTGAACTTTGAGGTTGAATCCATATCACCTTGAGTTCCGGACTAGAATTTTCCTTTTTGGAAAAAGGCTTGTGAGAGTATCTGCCACCTTGAGCGATACACGAGTGGAGTGTGTGTTTGTAAGAGTGTGTAGTACACCACCAGAGCCATATAATCCACCTCTTACCTGCGAGCTGAGAATAGTGAGGGAGCGAGCCAACTTTTTGGTTTCACTAACGTGATTACTCACACATCTTCTTGTTTTTTTTTAGATATTTTTTTTCCTATACAGATGGCTAATCAAGTTCCAAACCTTCCCCAGACATTAGAACAAAAGATAGACAGGCTACTCAAACGAATGAATATTTTGGAGCAACGCTCCCAACAAGTGCAACCACCACACAATGATGAGCGACACCTGCCACCAGCAGGAAGAGTGGATCCTAGATGTCAAAGGATCCCACAGCGTAATGCGGAGTTAGGAAACATTAAACATAAAATTCCTAACTTCATTGGTGAGAAAGGACCTACTGAATACATAAAATGGGAGAATGCTATTGAAACTCTTTTTTATTTAAAGCACTATTCCGATCTTACAAAAATTAGGCTAGTTGCTACATCTTTTAAGGGGTATGCATTATCTTGGTGGCGAAAAAGAAATAGAGGGAGAGTTGCTAATTTTATTCCCTATGAATCTTGGGTTCAAGTGAGGGAAGATATGCGTCTAACCTTTCGTCCTAAATTTTTTTTCTATGATCTTGAAAGAAAATTGCAGGGAACGGTGCAAGGAAATAAGTCAGTTGATGAGTACTACCAAACTATAAGTATTTTGCTTAAACAGGGAGACATACATGAAGAAGAGACAAAAATTGTTGCTCGTTTCGTACATGGATTGAACATAGAAATTCGGTGTGGAATGAGTACTCAGAGATATGACACCCTTTATGATGCCCTGTATGCTGCACGTGAATCTGAGGCAAAAATCAAAGAGATGAAAATGTACAAGTCCAAAAATGGTGCATCAAGATGGAACAACACTTGTTCCACCCCTCAAAGGCGTGATGAACATCCGCCTCCAAGAGATGATTCACGAGACAAAGGTAAGGAAAAGGTAAGTGAGGCAGTGAGGCCTCAACATGATAGAGAATTGATTTGTTATAGATGTAATGGGAGAGGCCACATAGCTCGTGATTGCCCTAACAAGAGGGTAGTTAAGATAACAAAACAATCTGAAAATTTTGCTTCTTGTCTTGAATATAAGTCTAAGGATGAGGTATGTGACCATTTTGAAACTCTCAATGAACATGTTGAGGGAGAACCATTCATACCTTTAGATTCTGATTCTAAATATGTTGCTAGTGAGTCTAGTCATACTGTTGTTGTTAAGGAGGTTTTGAATGTTCACCCTTTAAAAGAAGATGAGTCTCAAAGAGAAAATATATTTTGTACTAAAGGGGCAATTAGAGAGAATGCTTGTGCTATGGTAATAGATTCTAGAAGTTGCACAAATATGGCTAGTGCAGTTATGGGTAAATTTCTCCAG